CCTGGCGCGTGACCCTTTCTTCCTGCCGCGCGCCCGGAGCGAGCGGCGTTTTTCATCCCGCCGTGCGCTCGGGGCGCGCGGCGGTTTTCTGCCCGCCGTGCGCCCCGAGGCGCGCGGCGGTTTTCTACCCCGTGGATCCGCGCGCGCCCCCCCCGCCATCCCGTCGCCAGTCGTGGCGCCCTCTCCCGTCGCCCGTCGTGGCATCGCGGGGGCCGCGCGTCCCCCCCATCCCGTCGCCCGTCGAGGCGCCTCGGGGGCCACGCGTCCCCCCCCCCTTCCGTCGCCCGTCGTGGCGCCACGGGGGCCGCGCGTCCCCCCCCCCGTTCGCGTCGTCACGTCGCGACGCCCTGGGGAGCCGCGCGCGGCCCCCGATTCCCCGTCGCGCCGCCCTGGGGAGCCGCGCGCGACCCTCCGCTGCCCCGTCGCGGCGCCCTGGGGAGCCGCGCGCGGCCCCTCGCTGCCCCGTGTTGGCGCCCTGGGGGCCGCGCGCCGTCCCCCTCGCCGTCCCCCGCGCTCCTACCCCGTGCCACCCGTTTTAGGGTTTGGGGGTGAGGAGTGTGGGGGTGGCGGTTGTGGGGGTGCCGGTTGTGTGCGCCGTCCCCTACTCCTCCTCCTCCTCCGTCTCCCGCTGCTGCAGCTGCCGCTCAGGGGGGTGGGTGTGTGGGGAGCCGAAGGAGTGGTGCTAGGGGGGTGACGGGGGAGTGGAGCTAGGGGCGCAGCAGTGGGTGTTTGAAAGGGGTCTGCGACAGTTGGGGGAGGTTGCGCGGAGGTAGCCGTCTTGTCGCCAGCAGCGCCAGTAGTCCGGAGCCCTTGCTCTCGGTAGCCCAGCGAGCCTGCTGCGCCAGTCGCCCGTGGGTCCGTTGCTCCTGCCGCTCGTCGTAGCCGCGGAGTCTGTTACTCCAGTAGTCCGGGGCCCTTGCTCCGGTAGCCACTGTGCCAGCCGCTTCTGTTGCCCGTGTGTCTGCAGCTTCAGTCGTCGCCTCCAATCTTCTCTCCTCTCATAGTCCCTCCTCCTCCTCACTTGCCCTCTGTGATTGCCTCTAGCTTTGCTTGTAATTGTGAACTATTACTATGCTTGCTTGTTGTGCTGATTACACCCCACTTTGGCTATGGGGGTGTGTCAGAATGTTATAATTGTCTAGCCTGCAGTGGGGTACTCCATAGTGAGTACAGCCCAATTAGGGTTTGCTATATGTATCCAACTGCTTGCTAGTGAAACCCCTCCTTTCTTCATTCTTGTTTCTGCTGCTAGTTCTGACACGGTTCAGACAGCCACTCGTCGAAAGTGGCTGGCAAATACAGCTGGAGCACGGGCCGCTGGTGAGAATTCGCGTCAGGAACAGGAGTCGCAGGATTCGGAGGAGCGGGAGGAGCAGGAGGAGCAGGAGGTGCAGGAGGAGCAGGCGGTGCAGGGGGTGTAGGTGGCACTGGAGGCGCTTGTGGCTCACGGGTATACCACCCGTCCGCGGTTACTCGCCACGCGCGAGTTGGTTTCTTCTTGAAAAGGAAGTGCGTTCCACTGAATTCCGCCATGGCTTCGCCAGCCAGGCGGGCTAGACTAGAAACTGAATGAAACAAAATGAGGAGGGTGCAGAAATGGGCAAAGACGGGGACCCCTGCGGGCTAGCGGCTCGGGGTCCTCGTCAATGTCAGGCAGGAAACCCCCGCCTACCCCCGTAGAGGAGCCTGCGTGGCAGCATATTCTCTGCGCTAGCAGGGAATCTTCCCCACCCTTCGAGAGGGTTCGGAAGAAATGCGGATGCCACGCAGCGCATGCGGCTGTGATTGGGCCGCACGGCAACATCCCCGTCACTGCTGTCACTTTCGATGGTTCTAGACAACTTTGTGCGGTGGGAAACCGAACCGCTGCTGTTTTTGCCTGAAAACCATGCACGATCCCACTTGTTGCATGGTCCGGTGGATTCGCCTTATTGCGGGCTTCAGTTTAGTATGTTTAAAAGTGAATTTCAATTTTCCCTTATTATAGGCGCATGCGCTTATACAGACACCTCAATTAGAAGCGCACCCCCCCAAAAAACATTGTTTTATTATAAGCGCACCTGCGCTTTTATCCGGGGTAATACGGTACATTCATCTTTTCATATGCATATTATATGGTAGTAAAGCACAACAAAGTAAATCACAAAAACAACCTAGTTGTCCAAAAAATCACTACCACTACGTTAGTATAATTCAAATAGACAGGACCTCCTACAGGTTACATAGCTAGCAATTAATGCATCCAGATTTTTTTTCATATTTTATTTAAAATAAATAAAATGTGAAAATATGAAAACAAAACTGGCCAAATCGATCGTAATAGGTTGCTTCGCAACCAAAAAAAAAAAAACACACATAAAAAACCACACATCGTCGCTTAACCCAACGACGACCGCCACCGTCGACCCGTCACACATACCGTACCAACTCGACGACCTGGTTTTATTTGACACTCAGAACCTCCGCCTGCCCATTACTCCAGAATCACACCAGATACCGTATATTGCGGGCCATTTCGCTTGAGCCACATGGTCACTCTCGTAACAACACACCTCCTCCTCCCTGCTGACTGGTACATTAGCCCCTCCTTCCACGTCATCCTCCTCCGCCCCTACGTCTCTTCAACGAGTCAACTGCCACGCAACCAACCATCCAGCATGACATGACCACCCACCGAGCCAATCACCGCGACTGAAAAAACATTGAGTCATTGCGTCCGTGACCCACGTGGAGCCCGACACATCGGATTCCTGATTCACTGGAGAGATAGAACACCGTCAGAGGACAGTTGGGTCCCCATGGACAAAATCGAAAACCACCCTATCCTCACCGAGTACTACCAGCGCAACACAATTTTCTACGATATCCACGCACTTTCATACGGTCCTCCCTTGGAGGGCGGGATAGTGTAAAGAAACAACTTTTCCTTACTTCGCGTCACATCGCATACCGCGTACATGACTATTCTCGCCACCGTACACCCAATACCGTAGTATTCCGTTACCACATCGCGACACTCGCCTCGATACTGTTCCCGCCATCGTGACCATCGCGCCCAAATCACCGAGCCCGGCTGGTAACCCACGACCCAGCCGTAGGGCACCCCTTCGCGAGCACGTTACCGTTACCAATTGTTTTGCTAAGAATTCGCTCATGCCTTCTCTCATTGCATTGTTTGCTTCTATAGTGCAATTCTAGCTCAATCACTCAATTACACTCGTAACACTGGAACTCTACTGATTGGGTACTTGGATTCTGAGAAAGCGGGTCCACAATCTCTGGAACTCTTTTGATCGTTTGCCAATCAGTGAAACACCAAAAGCGCCCCGGCTATTGCAGAATCTTGGTGGATGTGGCTTCCCTTGCGCGCAAGTTCTGCTGACACATATCACCAACCTTGGAGGGTGCGGAAGTTCCGCGGTTGTGGGCTGGCTCACAAAAACCAAACGCAATTGAATGAGGACGTGGCTTGGCCACTGAACTGGGTTCACGTGTCCGCTTCGGTCCAAGTCGGCTCTCCAACATTCGACCCTGTGCTCTCGTCAAATTACCGAGAGCACGCCGCAAATTGAGGGCTGTTCAACTGAACCATGAATTCTACTCTGAGGCACACGACTCGGCGTTGCAAGTTTGATGGAATTCAGGACTCCACAAAGAATGAGACCCGCCAGATGGCCACAAATCTAAGGCATGGGCGGGTTTCGAGGCATCACTACAGCAGTCACTCGAGTTGGATGTGCTGGAGTGCGTCGTTAGCTTCTCTGTGCTGCGGCAGTGTGAAAGATGTTTCCTATATGATCCTCGTCCAACATTTATTCCCAACATATATGAGAACCTCGTGGCACTTTTGGGCTAGTGAATTTCATCAACGCTCATGGTCTCATTCTCGCCTAGTCTAATTTATTCGCCTGGCAACGGTTGCACGCAAACACAATATGGAAGGCCCGTACCGTGTTCGAAGACGTTTTGATTCCGGTCACATGTGGGACGTCGGTGCAGTGCTGCTAGGAGGGTTCGTTCCTAGTGTCGTTGTAACGAAATGCGTCGCTGTTGTAGGCGCTCTTGCCTTCTCCTCGTGGTGTGCAGCGATTGTTATCGTCGCAGCAGGATTGCACCATATTCATGGTACGTCCGTTTAGCCTCTCCAATTCTTGATATTGGTGTATGCTCCGGAATTGAGACTGACGTTCAGTGACTCTTGTGCCTTGTTTTGCAGTGGCTTCTCACCGTGCCCCTGTCCAAGATTGGGCAGAGTAACCTGTATTCCCCTGAATCTCTCACACACTAACAGTAACCGGCCAAGTTCTTATATACTGCCAAGCTGTCCTCGTGCGGAGGCTCAGCAGGCCCCCGTGATTGGGGTTACCATATACTTCTGATGTAATTTTTAGTTAATATTATTGCAGTTCCAGTGAAACCCGACTGCAGGAGGGGTAGGCATTCAAACTGAACATGTTTTGCTTGAATATCATAGGGCGGGTCCAAGAATGTACGTAATCGCAGGAAACCCTACTCAACCATTATAGTTTTTTCATAGACCGCTCAGGGTAAAAAAATCAAACCTTTTTAACCCCTACTCACTCTTCGGACACGCCCTTACTATCTTTATGATTGGCGACCCTCTCGCGAGCTTTAGGGAATGGCTTTTGTGGCCTATGTTGATTTGATAAGGCTGTGTGAAAATCAGAGGTATACAGTCATTCGTCACAGTGAAATTCAGTATTCACACTGCACCAAATAATCAAATTTAAGTGCATGCAGCATTTAAGCCCTTAATATATAAGCTGACGTGACTGGGGAAGACGGTACTGTTGTTTACTCCCAATTCTAGCCTTCGGAAGTGCAAAATGAGAACAGAAATCACTAATCTCATCACAACCACACAAACTTTGCCCTCAAATCACAACCCAGCATTTGTTGTCACATTCCCGTTTGCAAACCTGAGCAGCAGCTTGGGAAAAAGGGACACTATGAGAGGGCGCATCGAAGGTTCACCGGCATCAATCCAAGGAAACAGCAACATCTCCTGCGTATGCTCGTCCATTGGTGCACCTGAGGTCGTGTATAAGCTGGGTCCAGCGAGATGAGAGCGAGCCAACAAAGCGGTCACACTGTGACGACATGATGAGGTGCGCCAGGTGGTGCGCTGCTGTCACCTCCCCACCTTTGTTGCCACCACCAGCTGCTGCGGACTGCTGGTGCTCCCGCGAGTGCAGGATTGTGAAGTCAGAGAATGCGAGCACTGCATCAAAGAATGGCTGCAGAGGGGATGGCACAACAAAGCACAGTGCATGAGCGATGGTGCAGAGCAGTGCACGAGCCAATGAGATGCAACATGCACTGCAATTGCCTTGCAACAAACAGAATCCCATAGACGACGGTACAGAGGGGGGAGAGGGTGCTGACCTGTGAGTCGGTGTCCATCCATACATGGCGCATGTCAAGGGAGTATCGCCTCATTCGATTCACATGGAACATGAACACTCCGCTCACTGCTGATGCCTCATCCACGCCTGCTGCTGATCCTCCCGCACCACTGCCATTCAATAGGCCTAACGAAGCACTAGACATGTGGACGCCCGTGATTGGTCGAACCATGTATGGCTCTGCTGCAAGCTGCAGCAGATCCTTCTCGTATAATTCGTTCACTCTAGGAACCTCAGCAGCAGGTGCAGGTGCAGGCGCAGAAGCAGGAGCAGGAGAAGGAGCAGAAGCAGGAGCAGCAGCCGCAGCAGCAGCGGCAGCTGCAGAAGCAGCGGCAGCCGCAGAAGCAGAGGCAGCCGCAGAAGCAGCGACAGCTGCAGCTGCACCTGCAGCAGCAGCGGCAGCGACAGCAGCAGCAGCAGCGTCAGCAGCAGAAGCAGCAGTGGTATCATTTGCAGCAGCAGCAGCAGCGGCAACTGCACATGTAAAGTTGCTCAGAGGGATATGCTGATCAGCTGCCAGCCACACCTCACTGCGCAGATCTGGACCCTTGGATTCGATCACGCGGCGCATCTCCTCTGCCTCGCGGCTCATGTTGAAGTAAGCCTGTGCGGGGTCCCCTGACCCTGCCTTGGCAGCGGCGGCAGCAGCGGCCTTGGCAGAGACTGAGTGCAGCAGGTTGGCCTGGTCCCCCCTGAAGATTGCAAGGCGTGCCGCCGCATGCATGCCCAGTGCCGCATGGCGCTGCATGTTGCCCACGTGGCACAGGTGTAAGGAGGGCCAGCGCAGCAGGAAGCGCACTGCCTGTGCGCGCCACCAGTTCGCCTGATGGCCGGTTGGTGCCCAGGAGGGGGAAGGCATGGGAAAACGAGAGCGGTGTGGCAGGAGGCTGAGAGACGAGGTGAAGGGCTGATGGCAGTGGAAACAGCTGAGTTTGAAGGGGAGTGGAAAGAGAAGGTGCATGGGTTCGGACATGTGGTGCTGAATGTGGTGACGGTGGTGAGCAGTGCACCTTGAGCTGTGTGTCGTTCACGCTTGTGGCTTCACCATTCTCCAGCAAAGAGTAAGCACCCTCCTTGTGAGGGTTGCCCCATCCGCTGCACACGCACAAGCGCGATATGGCAGCAGGGAGAAGAAAAGTTGAAACCGTTATGAGTGTGGAACACGGTACCGCTTTCCATGCGTCCACGTGAATTCACGAATTCAAGCGTCCGAGTGCAAATCGGGCAGCACAGACGTGCATAAACAGGGCAACGCTTGCCATGCTTAGCTTACTCCCACTCGCGGTCCCCTTTCAACCTTCCCTTCCTCCCCTGCCCTCACCCCCACGAGTCCAGCCCTTCCGCCCCTCTCCCCCTCTCCCCCCACCCACCTGGCGTCCACGTGGTTGAGCAGAGCATCCCCATCCGCGCCCTCCCCCACACACACCACGGCGTCCGCGCCCTTGGCTGCGCCCTCCACGTCCGCACTGCCCGTGCACTTGGCTGGCATGCGCGCTGCTGCTGATGCCGCACATGCGGATGATGTGATGGGCGCGAACAAACACGCCCAGTCCGCCTCCTGCTGTTGCGCTGGTGGGCAGGGGGGCGGGGGAGATAGAGGGGGAGGGTGGCGAGAGGGGAAAAGGGGGAGGGCAGGGAGAGAGGAAAAAAGGGGGATCGGGGAAATGAGGTGGAGAACGAGGATGGGGAGGAGGGGGAGATGGAGACGGGGGAAGAAGGGAGAGAAGGGGGAAGAAATGGGAGAAGGGGAAGAATGGGGAGAACAGGGAAAGAGGGGAAAAGGGACCTTGATGGAGTGAAGGCAAGGGAGACATGACAGGACGAAGGGGAAGGCGGGCTAACAGGGCCAAGTGGGGAGCTTGCCACACACTGCACGCGTGAATGTATTCATCAAAAGATAGGAAAAACAAAGCAGCCTAAACTCATCAGCTGACCTCCCCAATCTCCTCCTCCCCATCCCACCAGTGCACCTGCGCAGGCCTTGCCGGTGGCAGCAGGGAAGGAGCGCGGCAGCGGCACGAGCACGCGGTCGTGCGCCATGGCCACGCCCAGCAGCGCCGCCATGGCCTGCACCCTCCGCGCCATGCCCTCCTTCCACGCCCCCGCGCTGCCCCGCGCATCCCAGTCCGCCCCGCCAGCGGCAGGGGACGAGGAGGGCGTGGAGCGCAGGAGGCGCCAGTCGACGAGCAGCAGGCGGCGCGTGTCACAGGGGCCAGGCGGGAACTGGTGGCGCCAGATGTCCGCCTGCACACGGCGGGTCATGGGCGCACTCGCACTGGACGGGCCGCGCACCTGGTGGGGCGCAAAGGGAGGTGCGCGCGCTTATGGCGATGAGCACATGGCATTGCGGCGAGGGGGCGAGGGAAGTGAGTAAGAAACACGGTGGCGACGCATGCACCCGTGGTGGGCGTGCGACTGCTGGAGCACGTGGCGTCGTGCTGCCACAGTCACACTGTAATGCCTGCGGGTTTCAAACTTGAAAGACACCCGCTGGATCTCCGAGGAACCCCCGTTTTGGCCCAATGGTCTAGCGGAGTGCTATACACACAGTCAGTCAGCCGACGAGGACGAGGAGGCAGCAGCGCAGCAGCAAGCACCGCCATGCCCCCACTCCATGCTCGCATCAACCCCATTCCCCGATCCCTTTCCCCCCACACGCTCCATGCCCCCCAGTACTACCCATGCGGGTCGCGCGTCGCACCCATCCGCGCCAGTCCACGGCGCGGCCCTCCCCTCCTCGTCCGCCTCCGTTCGCTCCCTCAGCGCCACGCCCGCCGCGCAGTCCACCAGGTGCGGCGCCTCCGGCACGTGCGCTGGCAGCACGAGCGGCGCCGGCGGCAGAAGCGAGGGGGACGACAAGCCGTAGGCGTCCTCCCACGCCTGGGGGAGGGGGGGCGCGGGAAGGGGGGAAATCGGCGCGCAAGGCGGCGGAGGAGCGGGAGGGAGGTTGGCGGGGAAGGAGAAAAGAGGGGGAGGAGTGGGTGGGTGGGTGGAAGACGGGGATGAGAGAGGCGGAAAGAGACGAGGTACGTGGGAAGGGCGGAGGAGAGGTCGCTCGCGTATGCCATGGCGCAGAGGAAGGGGGAGAGTGAGGGAAGAGCGGGAATGCATGGCGCAGGAGGATGGGAAGAGGCGTGTGGGAACGATGCGCGCGGGTGACACGGTACGGACTAACGCAGTGGCGGCGACGGGGATGGAGAATGGCTTCGAGGCGAGGACGGCAGGAGACGACTTCTGACGCGCCTAAAACGTTGAAATGCGCGGACGGCAGGAGTTCAGAACACACGGAGCGCCGCGGTCGAGACGGTGGGAGTGGGGAGGACGCGAGGAATGACGGACGGGACGAGGTGGTGGGGGGGTATCCGGGGAAACGCCTTGCCACGTGGCAATTTGTCGGCCACACGCACCCGATACAGTGACATGGCGTGCTCCTCCCCTTGCAACCTGCGCACCGCCGTGCGCGCGCGGGCTCCGCGCGATGGCGAGGTAGCGCTGCGCGCATGGCGGAGGGAGAGGAGGAGACATGCGAGGAGGACGGCAGGAGAGAGGGCGCATGCTCTCCTTTTAGCACAGTCATGCTGCCGTTTCGAGCGCGCTAATCTGTATACGTTTTCATGGGATCCATGGGGTATTGATGCCATCACGCGGTGCGAGGCGGTTGCTGAAAGGAAATCACACAAAAACGACGAGGAGACGAATCTGAAAACAGCAAGGAGATCGGTGGGGAAGACCTGGTGAGGTGAAGGGGAGAGGGGCGGAGAGAAGAAAGAGCTGGAGGAGGGTGGAGATGGGGACGGCAGCTGTGGCATCAACGATAGCCCCACCCATGCTGTGCCCAATTTGAACGCTCAACGTAAGGGCGTATTCCAAAGTTGGGACAGCATCCTAACTTCCCCCAATTGATTGGAAATGTATTCATGGCATTCCAATATTTCCCCACGTGGTTACACTTTTGGACACCACGAAACCTGCGAGTCACGTGGTACACGATTGACGTGCACTTCAAGCTGTGTCATTTGAGATCTTGACATTTTAGGCAGTGTAAAGATTTTTTTCCAAATACCTTCTTGCGCACTTGCCTACCGCGTACAACGCTATGACGTTCGTCGCCACTTCGCACACCACCTTTTGCCAAACTTTGCACTGTTGTACCGGGCCGAGTCAGCCTACGCTTTGGAACTAGCCCGAGCCTAGCTGCCAACATTGAATAAGCTAGCTCGTACGCCGCGTTACCATTTGCATCGTTTTGCTATTTAATATTCGCTCATGCCGTCGCTCACGTTGTCACTCTTTACCCATTACGTACAATCCTCATTTCACTCGTTCAATTGCACAAATAACACTTGGTATTCAGAGCCCCGTCCTTCTGAGCTTTAGTATTTTCTCTCGAAGGAGCAGACGTCGTTCAGCGCACTAAGAGACGTGCTCTCACGCAAGCACATACAGCCACGACCGCGTCTACTAGGAATGCTGACGGCCTTCGATATGTGTGTCAAATGTTATAATTGTTGTTAGGCTTTAGTGAGGTACTCCCTAGAGAGTACAACACAGTTAGGGTTCCATATTTGTATCCCATTCCTTTCCTAATCCAATCATTCCTCTGTTTCTGATTCTGAGATGGTATCACGAGTAGGTACCGTTCCTAACCTAGCTTAGCCCGCCCCGCCCCGTTCCCTAGCCTAGCCCGTCCCGTCCAGTATCGTCCCGTTCCTTAGCAGGTCGCGCCCTGCCCCGCCCCGCCCGTAAGCACCCGCGCATAGCGCGCTCCCCAGAACCGTCCCGTACCCGCGCGCTGCTCGCCTCGCGCTGCTCGGCCCGCGCTACCCGCTCAGTTCCGCTCGTCCCGCCCCTTAGCCCGACCCGTCCCGCCCCGTACCGTGCGCAACCAGCAGAGCGCAGCCGCGTGTGCACTAACGCACGCACGTAGCCGCGCACGCGCCGCTGCCAGACGCGCCTGCAGCCGCGCAGGCACTGCCGCCCGCACGCAGCCGTGCGCACGCCCTGCTGCCCGTGCACCAGCTGCCAGACGCGCGACTGCACGCACACTAGCAGCCGCGCGCACAACAGCAACTGCGTGCACAGCCACAGCCGCGCGCACAGTCACAGCTACGCGCGCAACAGCAGCAACCGCACGCGCCACTGCAGCCACGGGCGCCCCTGCTGCCGCACGCGCATAGCCGCGCAGGAGCAGCCGCCCGCGTGCAGCCGCTAGCGCGAAGCCGCGCACTCGCAGCCACACACACGCAGCAGCTGCGGCCACGCGCACCAACAGCCACGCACGCAACAGCAGCCGCACACACAGCAGCAGCCGCCCGCGCAGCAGCCCCCGCTGACGCAAGAGCAACCGCCTGCGTAGTCCCAACCGCACGAGCAACACCTACCGCACCAGCAACTGCAATTGCACGCGCCCAGCTCCCCTACCTGCTGGTTCAACCACGCCTCCTGCCATCGGCGTTCCTCCCAGCGGCTGGCAGATGCAGTTGACTCTCCTGACCGTGACCTAAGGTTCACCTCTCGCTGTTTCCTAGGCTATTCCTCCTGGCTCCGTTCGTTACTAGCTTCGCCGGTTTGTAGACTAGCCCTCAGGCTTCGCTTCGTTATTCGTTTAGGCTACTCCTAGCCTAGCCACTCTGGCTTAGTTCGCTACTCGCTCCGTACGCCCTTCGTTCGTTTCAAGCTCCGGCCGTTCCTAACCTTGCACTAGTATACCAGTAGCCATCTCGTTACGGCGTCCACTCGAGTCCTGCATTTTGATGCGGAGGGTAGAGCCCTAGACTTCCCCTCCTGGATCCTGCGTGCCGAGCGGATCCTCCAGGGTCAGCGCCATGATAATGATACCCTCTGGGCGCACGCCTCTGGTGACCTGCCTGAGCCTCCGCCCCCTGTTGCCCTGCCTGACGAGCCTACTGACACAGACCGGGAGTGCTTTGACAGGGCCCGTACAGCTCTGTCGGTATGGCGGTCTCGTGATGCGGCGGCTTGCATTGCACTCGGCAGCCTTCTCCATGGGTATGAGAAGGCTCACTTCACCCAGGTTCGATCTGCCAAGGACTTGTTCCCTGTGATTAAGACCCGCTATTCCACTTTCTCCTCCGCCTCTCTTGGTCGCCTCTTTCTGCCCCAACCTAGGAGCGTTTGACCGCACTGCTGACCTTATCACCCACCTGAGCTCGCTCGACGTCAGCTACCGTGCTGCTTGTAATTAGGCTGAGCTTGCACTACTCCCCCCGCCCATGGCGATCACTATTCACTTCATCACCACTAGCCTCCCTGACCGCCTTGCTTCTTTGGAAGCACCCTAGTGCGCTCACTATCAATGTCCTTGAGACAGCTCTCAAGGACATCGAGAGCTCTCAATGTCAGTGCCACCGTGCACTCCTTGAGTCGAGGGTCGGATGCGCGCCACTCCTCACTTCTCCTCCCTTCGTCCGGCCACCACACCCTTCCAGACTCTCGAGTTGGGGCCCCACCCCTTGCCATGGGCCCGGGAGGGAGAGCTACTTTCTGGTGGTCGTTGACAACTACTCCCGTTACACCACGGTGTTCCCCCTGGTGAAGAAGTCCGACGTGACTTCTACGCTGATCAGGTGGTTACTGGTCACTGAGGCCACTCGTAATATTCGTGCCGTTTGTCTCCACTCCGACCCTGGGGGTGAGTTACGCTAAGACATTCTTCGCGGAATCTGCAGCGAGCAGGGCATCACCCAGTCCTCTACGCTTCCGGAGTCCCCACAGCAGAATGAGGTTGCTGAGCGCCGAATTGGCTTGGTCATGGAGATCGCCCGCACCTCCATGATCCATGCCCGTGCGCCCCATTTTCTGTGGCCCTACGCGGTTCGCTACGCCGCCCTCCAACTGAACCTCTGGCCTCGTGTCTCACGGACTAAGGCTTCACTGACCAGTCTTTGGACAAGCTCTCAACTCGCGCCATCCCCTGTGTCTTCCTTGGTTTCCCAGTTTGACGAGTCAGTGTCCTACTACACCCGCTACCCCTGTCGAGGTCTCCCGGTTCCTCCCCCTCCCCATTTCTTCGCCCCCGCTCCTTCTCCTGCTCTTGCTCCTCCGGTGCACACGCCCTCCCCTGGTCCTGCCCCGTCCGGTGTGTCCCACGCTACCCCTCTCCCCTCGACAGCACGCCAGGTACCGCCCCCTTCCCCATAGTCGTCCTCACAGTCACCACAACAGCAGTCGGCACTCCTGGGGGTGTTGGTGTTGGGGGCACGGGGCGCTGGAGGTGCTGGGTCTGAGAGTGCTGGAGCTGAGGGTGTTGGCACTGGAGGTTCTGGTTCTGAGGGTGCTGGCACTGGAGGTGCTAGTTATGAGGGAGCTGGAGCTGAGGGTACAAGCACTGGAGGTGCTTATTCTGGGGGTGCTGGAGCTGAGGGTACAAGCACTGGAGGTGCTTATTCTGGGGGTGCTGGAGCTGAGGGTACAGGCACTGGCGGTGCTAGTTCTGGGGGTGCTGGAGTTGTTGGTACTGGTGATGGGGGTGCTCGAGTTGTTCGTACTGGCGCTGGAGGAGCTCGTTCTTGTCAGAATAGTAGCGAGAGTAAGGAGCCATAGCTAGGGTTTACCTAGCTAGGCAAGAGAGAAATGAGCAAAGGAGGGGTTTGACTAGCAACAGTTGGGGTACAGTTGGGATAGCTAAGGGGCCGTACTCACTACAGAGTACCCCACTGCAGGCTAGACAAGCATTATAATCTGACAGTTCTATGGGCACTGGAGCGGGAGGCACTTCTTTCGCGGCCCCTGCTCCGCCTCCCCACCACTACCCAACGCGTTTCCAGGAGCATCTTCAGCTCGAGCGTGAGGAGCGGGCGCGGTTGGAGCAGGAGCAGTTGGAGCTGGAGCAGCGGCAGTAGGTATTGCAGCAGCAAGAG